TGGAGATTGAGGAATCTCCATACTGTTTTCCACAGTGGCTGCACCAAACTGCATCCCCACCAGCAGTGTAGGAAGGTTCCCTTTTCTCCATAGCCTGTAGGTGAGCTTTTTATGCTCTGTACAACTTCTCCTTTTAAGAATAAGTCAAAAAAAAAAGAGCAAGTCAAACATACTATGTTTGCTAGTATAGTTCATTCATGAAGTAGAAAAATGTATCAAGCAGCAAAATTTATATTTTTAGTGAAAATTTAGTTTCTGTAAAACATGACACTTAATAGGTTTTGAAGTGAGCACACATTTATCAAACATTTTGATTTCTTATGGGCTACTTTCTATTGATATATAACTTACTTACATAACATAAAATTCACCCTTTAATGAAGTGTACACATCAGTGGTTTTTAGTATATTCACAGGGTTGTGCAACCATCACCACTATCTGATTCCAGAACATTTCATCACTCCAAAAAGAAACCCCGTCCATACCCATTTAGCAGTTACTCTCCATTCCTCCCTCCCCCAGCCCCTGGCAACCACTAATCTTTTAGTCACTGTGGATTTGCCTGTTGTGGACATTTCATATAAGTGAAGTCATTCAATATATGGCTTTTTGCGTCTGGCTTCTTTCACTGAGCATAATGTTTTCAAGGTTCATCTATGTTGTAGCATGTATTAGTACTTCATTCTTTTTTATGGCTGAATAATATTGCAAAATAATATCGTATTTTGTTTATCTAGTCATCTGGTGGACATTTGGGTTGTTTACACTTTGGAGCTATTGTGAATAACGCTGCTATGAATGTTTGTGTGCAAGTTTTTTTGTGTAGACATATGTTTTCAATTCTCTTACATAAAAGTCAAAGAGTAACATTTCTGGGTCAGGTGGTAACTTTATGTTTAAATCTCAAACTATTTTACAACACTCTCAAACTATTTTCCCAAGTGGCTGTACCATTTTACAATCCCATTAGCAATGTATGAGGGTTCTAATCTCTCTGCATCCTTGCTTACATTTATTATTGCCTATCTTTCTGATTCTATATATCCTAGGGAATGCGAAGTGGTATCTCAGGTGGCTTTGATTTGCATTTCCCTCATGACTAATGATGTTGAACATCTTTTCATGTGCTTA